GTAGACCAGGTCACATATATGCTTTCTAAAGGAATCGTCTCAACAAATTTGGTTAACTCAAAAGTTAGTATGTACTAGTGACGCCGGGATCCCGGTGTTTTTGACGTCCCGGAAATCCCAGGATTTGCTTGCATTAATCCCGGTATCCCGAAAATTTTGAAATATCGAATTGATAGTAAGAATTTGTTTATTTTGAAGTACGATTTTTGTAAAATGCCGTTTTGACTGCAACTAACAAAAAGCTTGAAACTGTACTTTTAAATTGCAGTCTGAGCCTTTTTTGAAGAAGATTTCAATGAATTTACTCATAGCTTCGCTAATGTAAACGAAACGGAGAGTTTTAAGGAAAAGTTAGATAATTTTTTAGATCAATCTACTCAAAACTTCATCAAATCGAAACACTTATAATTTGACCGACGTGCTGGTAAAAGAAGTTCAAATATTTTGTAATGGAGGAGATAGGGGTCATTATGAACTTTGTCTACCTTTTGACAGTTCAGCCTAAAAGTGTTGATGCCGAAATATGTTTTTCATCAGTAGGTTTTGAATGTAAAAACTGCAGGTCAAGCTTAGAAGACTCCGCTTTGAATGCTTTGCTGCTCTTACGAAAACATTTTAAGTGCAATAATAACAATACCGGCAAAAAAAGGGGTCTGAGATCCGTTTGACTTGTACACCCTCAAAATTTCTAGTAAATTGCGAAAAAATGGCAAAAAATTCTCCATTCGCCATTTCTTTATAGAGTAGAATAAACATGTTTAGAGAAATTGTTTTTGTATATTATTGTTTTATGTTTTTTTTATTAGTGCAAAGTTGCTAAGTCCCAATTTAAAAATTGTACAGGAGAGGAAAAAACTTCGTATAGCCATTTTCTTCAAGTATTTCGCAAAACTTTGAGTAGAACATTTTGCCTGTTTAAAGCATAGAAAAACTCCATACGAATCGGAGGGATTCGATATTTATTAAAAGATTTCGAACTTTTTTGGCCTTATCGAATTTTCGGAGCTTTTTTTGACCTTAGCAAATTTTCCTTGCATTGAATATAAACGAGAAAACATAAAACAAGGACCCTTACCCTTTTCGAAACGATGCAAATTTAATTTATCTAGCCTCCTATATCAAAATATGATTTTTCATTAAAAGTGAAGTTAGCAACTTTTCACTCTAAGCTAGCGATATATGAGTTTTACAATCAGTTTATCGTAAATTTTAAATAGTTTTATTTAATGGTATGTTTAAATGCTTTCAGATATTGAATTTTTACTCATATTCATAAAATTTATGTCTCAATTTGAATCCCGGCATAAATCCCGGGATCCCGGGATTACCTGAAAAATATCCCGAAATCCCGGGATCCCAATTTTCCTGATATTTTGGCATCCCTAGTAAGTACCTATTGTTATTAGATGGCCTCAGCGCACAGTGGTTGCGTTTATATGGGGAGAGCGGCCAAAAATACTTTTAATGGACATATCGGGATAAAATGTTTACCCTAAGGTCTGTTAAGAGTAAAAATTGTAATATGTAAAAGTGGGCGGCGTTGGACACGCCCACATACAGTCATGTGAAAAATAATAGGGAGACGACATTGTGACCAGTTTCGGCTATTTTTGTTTTTTTTTTGTTTGTTTAATGCTTATTTTCTTATAAAAATACAACTCACTATCTAACAAAAACCACATAAGTCCAAATTTCAAACTTTATAAAAAAAGTAGAAAAATTCAACAAAATTTTTAACCAACACAAACCTTTTTAATAAGAACTTTTAGAAAAAATCCCATTAAATTCTAGTTTAAGAAATTGCAAGTTTGAAGTGGATAAAAATTTGCGTTGATTGTTGATAATTTTTTTTTTGGCGGATGGTGTCACTAATTGCTTCCATAAAAAAAAATTGCCAAACATACTTTGAATGGAAGAAAATGCGTGTCACCGTCAGAAAAATATTATCAAAAATCAAAGCGATTTATTAGACACTTAAAACTTGCACTATCTTGATCTAGAATTCAGTGGGCTATAAAACTGCATACATAACTTTTTTCTAAAAGTACTTATTTAAAAAGTTTGGTGTTGTTTTAAAATTTTGTTGAATTTTTCTATTTTTTTTACAAAGTTTGAAATTTGTTTTTTGTTAGATAGTGAGTTGTATTTTTATAAAAAAAAAATAAACATTAAACAAACAGATAAAAATAGCCGAAACTGATCACAATATCGTGTCCCTTTTATTTTTCACATGACTGAATGTGGGCGTGTCCAACCCCGCCCACTTTTACATATTACAGTTTTTATTTTAACAGACCTTAGGGTAGTAATTTTATCCCGATATGTTCGCCGACGCTTAGTCTTTTTGAAGACTCAACAAAATCTATTTTCGGGCACCACGATTTGAATTGGTGGAACTGCTGATTTTTGGCGTTTGGGTCTTTGCCAAAACAATGCAAATATTTTACAAACGTAATTAATACATTTTTGCAACTCATACCGATCTGGCTCAAAACCCTCATATTCAATATATTTCGCTATTGCACCCAGCAAATTTTGAACTTTTTGGGAATGCGTACCGAAATTTTCACGCCAAATCTCAAAAACATGCAATCGAGAAAATTCGCAGTGTTAACATTTTGAATTAGAAAATTAGATATGTAATCAAGAAATAAACATGAAAAAAACTGTAGAAAATAAAGAGCTTGGATTAGGTTATGGAATACTATGCGAGCCTCTGCAGGTCAATGCATCTGCACTGAACACTTTTATAATCTTAAAATATTAACAAACAATATGTAAATAAAAATATTGAGGGCCGATAGGGGAAACACACTTAAAACATTACCTAAATACTTGAAAGACGAACCAAGAAACACACAAAATCCTACTTTTCTAAAACAACGATTTGCATAGAAAACAACACGAATTATCAAAAAGTTTAATTGTAGAAATAAAGTTAATACCTTTATGAATAATATCCATTGCATACAATTTTCACTAACTCGGCTTTTCACAAGATTTTAATAACGATAAATCCAATTCAATTTTCAGCGTGCTGACGCTGTACAAATAAAATGGACAATTGATGACAGTTTTGTAGCTTTTTTCAGAAACAACCGTTAGAATTAAAACAAAAAATATATGTATGACAACATGAACTTTGGACAAATAACTGCTTGCAAAGCCTATTTTGGTTGAAAAATTTTTACATAAATTTTTTTAATTTTGGCCTATGAAAGCAACCACTGTGCAGCGGCCCTACTGTGTCTATTGTGATTACCTCAAAAGATGTGTTGGGCGTTTCCGTTATGTGAAACCTTTCTTTCGTGTATTTCGTTATCTTGACTTTGGCACAAATTTTACAGTTATTAACAAATTCCTTAACCATTTTGCTCATGTTTTTCCACACATACCTTTGCTTCAACTTGCTCACGCACCTTCTTGTTCCGCAACACCCTCCTTGCAATGATTCATGATACTCCCGTATCAAGGCGATTCCACCGTCACGGGTGGGATATTTGTACAGAAAAAATATTCTTTCTTGTTTAAATTTAAGTATAAAGTACTGAAGAATTCTACATTTTGATAAAGTTCAGAATTGCTCTATCAGCTCTGGTTTTCGAGATGTCCTAACCTAAAAGTGCAAAAAACACCGTTTTTGCCCATATTTGAGGTTATGTAGCCTTGCAGATGTTTTCTTTCACCAAAATAATAGGCTGGCATCTTTAAGTACAAGTCTTCTTCTTTCAAATGGCGTTTTGTTTGCTCAAATATCATTTTTTTTCGCTGAGATATCGCATTTTGAAATTTTCATGTTTCTTAATTTTCCTACACCTGAAAATCGATTGAGATAACATAGACATGATATAGTCGATTACTAGATTACTAATTTTCTCGAATTGAGTCTTATTTTTATTAAAATTTTGTCTCACACCATAAATGTGCTAACTCACCAAACCCCTACACTATCTAACCCACGGGTACCGAGTCACACACAGCCCTAACCCCTAGAAACTATCCCTACCATACCGCAAGCAGGCTACCATTTTTAAATTTAGTTGAACGAAGAAGACTTGTACTTAAAGATGCCAGCCTATTATTTTGGTGAAAGAAAACATCTGCAAGGCTACATAACCTCAAATATGGGCAAAAACGGTGTTTTTTGCACTTTTAGGTTAGGATATCTCGAAAACCAGAGCTGATAGAGAAATTCTGAGGCCAGATTTGGATGCAGCGCATCATAAACCTTCGGAAATATATAGTATGGTTTCTGGGTCTGAATGTTGGTTAAATTTTGTCGGCCTGTGTTATCTTAAAACAATGTCAGACCTACTTCGATCCTTTTGATTCTAACCCCTTCATATGTATACAAATTTTCCTACTTGGAAATTAGCCTTTTTTACATTGCTCTGCTTATTTCTATTCACAATTTTTGATTTCAATAAATTTTCTTTTGCTTTAGTGTGTGCGTATCTTAGTTTCAGTTTCAATTCTGTTACATAATCATCAAAATTGTTCAATATCTCTCTATTCTCACATGGTAATGCACTTAATTTGCCATAGACTAACTCAAAGGGAGTATATGTCGTAGTTGCGTGTGGAGTTGAATTACGGTTGCCAGACGTACTGATTTTATCAGTACAGTACTGATTTTTCAACTCTTGTACTGATTTTATTAATTTCTTGAATCAGTACGCTAATGTCCTGATTTTCCAAAATTTGTACTGATTTGTACTGAATTTTCTATTCAAACAAAATACTTAAGTATTTTCTTAAGGTTTTGACATAACTGTACTGTAAAAAAATAAGAAGAAAACAATTTAATTGTAGTTGACATGTTTTAGATAATGTTTGATATACCCAAGAAATTAATACAACAAAAAGATCAATCGTTTTATGGGCATATCACCGGGTCGTTACGTACCAGTTGCGATAATATGATGGAGCTTAAATCATTTACAAATAAAGCGTAAATTTTTGTCGAGTGTTGTTAGTTATCTCGAAAATAACTTTCAGTTTAGCAACAATAAATTTCAATATTCGAATGACTTTTGCCTATAACTTAAAACTCCTTTTTCTCAATTTACTGACATTGTAAAAGAGTTTTGCATACAAGACATAGAGTTAGGGCTGTTTTTGCTTACGCGTAAAAGCACATTTAGCGCATTTAGCTCTAAATGCTACTCTAAATGTACATTTATCCATACAAAATTCGTCACCTAAATTCAACTAAATGCAACTCCATTTTTGCATTAAGAATCTAAATACTAAAAGCAACCCTGTGATGTTCCAAGATTTCCACGATTCGAACATGGTTTAATGAGAAAAAGTGGCAAGATTGCTTTTTCGCGTATACAGTGGCTAGCTGCGTTTCAGTGATCGCCGATCGGGATTTCATTTATTATTTTACATTATTTAGATAAAGAAAAGTTACGCAAATTCAACATCGATGTGATGCTGATAGAAATCTGGATCAATTTGTGATCAACTGAAACTGACAAATGAATATATATACAAATAAATGTTCGGTTATGGTTAAAACAATTCAAGTTTTTGTATTGAATTTTTGGTTTAAAATTTATTTTTTCCTTTTCAGTAGGTCTTTTTGCACATTATCTTCTGCGTGAAAATTGATCGTAATAGATACGGATCTGAATAAGCGACTGGAACACGGCTGTTTGTCAAAAGCATACGATTTCGAACTCGCGTAAATGTACATTTGCTAAATGCGATAGCATGAACGTTCTTCGAAAAAATATGTTCGAAAGTGCTAAATGTTGCCTTTTAAATGCACCAAAAACGCTGCGTTAGATACTCTTTTAAGCGAATTCTTAGTCTTTTACAGTTTTTGCGTAGTTGAAAACATATTTAAGCCATGAGGACATATAGATGAACTCCTTATAAAGTGGTACTTTTTCACAGTATGAGAGGATCTTAAGAATAAAGTTTGTTTCCTGGCGCAAAGACAGAAACCGGCTTCTAGTTAAAATTTTTGAAAGTGAACTTCAAATTAAAAGTAATTTTAAAATGAAATGTATAGAATTCTTTGACTATGTAAACACTGAAAATGGGAATGATCTCATTATTGCTATTCCAAAAGTCACAAATATAAAATAATTTATTGGCTCCTGTGTATAATGATGTGTACGCTCATGTTAAAACGAATAACACTTTTATTTTTGATATAACTATATTTTATTTATGTACCAAAATAATGTTAAAAACAAGAACTCAGGCGTTTCAAATTATTTTCTGTTACTTACATTTATAATTTTGCTTGGAATAAAAATGTACTGAAAAGTACTGATTTTTTAGCATGAAGAAGTCTAATGTACTGATTTCGCGCATAAAAAATCTGGCAACCCTAAGTTGAATTGTAACTACATATAGACCTAATATGGAATCATTTTATCCCTATTATCTACACCTTGCATGATCATCAAATAGTCGTTAAGAACCCTGTGGTCCCATTCTATAGTGCCTAAGGTCTCATGATGAAAAGGTGTTGAGGTTGTTTTCACTACTTTAAGCAACTTGCATGTGTTCTATAAGAGTTCGTTTGTAAATTCCGTGCCTTTGTCTGTCTTCATTTTCCTAAAACAGCCGTATTTTAATACATATATATTTTATATTATATATGTGACCTGGTCTACGAAAAGGGAGCTTACGTGCGAAAACTAGTTTTCTGTGAAAAAGCTGTTAAAAGTAAGCAACTCGTTTCGTCAGTTTCTCATTATCTCGTTGATTGTTCTCCGCGCCGGACGTCCAGTAAGTGTTGTTGTTGGTCCAGTAAGTGTTGTTGTTGGTCGGAATATTATTATAGTTCATCGTGTAAGTTGCTAGTGTGGAACATTTAAAAAAGTAACACTGAAGAAGTGACGTTTACTGTTTCTGTTGATTATCGTCTTCGCATTTCGCATGAAATGAAACATGAGTGTTGATGAGGAGTTCAGTGCCGTATACGGACAATATTTCCATGAAAAGGATGATGAAAACGATGATGAAAACTATGAAGAGAGCGATGATGATGAAGACGAAGTATGTGTATCTCAGGCAGAAGATGATACCGAACAAACTTTTGTTAAGATGGACCTGTATGTTGTTGATGTAAAGAAGGAGGAGCTGGTAACAAAATTTCTGTCAAAAGATTGTTGTAATAATGAATGCCATACACTGATACCACGGGAAATGGTCGAGAGTACGCGGAACAATTGTTTAGAGATGTCGAAAAATGAACTTGATACATCTACTTGGTACATCTATCACAATCTTCGCAGCTTAGTTTCGGATATATCTAA